AAAAAAAAAAAAAAAAAAAACAGATACTGAAACAGGTTATAAGATTATAGTCTTCAGAGCAGTACCTGAAGCGAATGCGCTTGAGATCATTACCGCCACGTGGCAGGGACAGGAATGTAATTAAGACGCCGGGCTCGACCTGAGCCACCCACTCCTTGGGCTCGCTCTCCTCCACGAACACCACCGCCTCCAGCCGCCGCCCGCTCGCGGACGCCGGCGTCCCCTCCCCACTCGAGATCCCCTTCAGCCTCGCCTCCAGCTCTCTCCTCCCCGCCGCCGTCGAGCTCCCCGTCCGCCTGTACAGCCGCCGGAACTTATCCGCCGCAGCCGCCTCCTGTTCTGCCGCCGCCGCCGCCGCGTCCTTGGCGGCCGCCGGGTCCGCGAACGGCGCGCAGTGGCGGTACGCACCCGAAGCTTTTAGCGCCATGTCCTTGATCTGTAAACATAACGGTCAATTGATCAATTAATCGGCGCACCAAAAATTGGGGCACAAAATGTTGAATAATGTGCTTCGTACTTGAGACGAGAGCGTTTTAAGGGCTTGTTTGGAGGGATCAGCGGGCGGCGACTCCTCGCATGACCCTTGCCTCGAACGTGATATGCAAGTCAGCATTTTTTTTTTTTTAATTTATTTTTGTTTAGATTTCTAGCAATTTGGGGTATGGAGTTGGGAATGGAAATATAACGAGGGGAAATTTAGGGAATAAATGGAGATGGTGAAAATGAGTTGGGCACTTTTTGTGCACCTCCTTAAATCACACACCACCTAGATTCCTTGGGGAGACATCAGACATACTTTATTATGAAAAATATATATTTATATATTTATCTATCTATACTAGTCAAAAAGAGCAATAATTTTGTAAAAAATTGCACGGATTAAAAAACCATTATATATATATAATTATTGGTTGTTTTGCATTTAATAAGACATAATAAATTTTGGGTGTTGATTTTTACCGCCCCCTTTTCGATTATTACCGCCCCCTAAAAGTCGTTTTTGCCCTTTCTAATAAAAAAAAAAATACATTCATTATTCACTTTACATATTTTTTCTCCCGGTTCCGGACTTCGAAAAATTCCGAAAAAAATTCCGACCTACTCCGGCGACGACGATGGCGGCGAGCAAGATAAATTTTTTTTTCCTCGGCGGCCGGCCGGCCGGACCGGCCGGTTCACCCATGGCCGGCCGCTTATGCTGGCCGGCTCAGTTCTAGCCGGCCA